ATGGAAGCCGCTACACGGGATGCTGTTGAATTGCAACAACAAAGAAAGTTTGAACCAACCATGGTACATAGTTTCACAGCGAGACAATCTCGAAATGCCAAAGAAACTAGCGCAAGGTGCTACCGTTGTGGGAAATCAGGGCACCTACCCGATAAGTGTCGTTTCAAGGACGCGATCTGCCATGGATGTAACAAGCGGGGTCATATCAGGTCAGTTTGCCTTTCTTTGTCTAAATCTGATCATTCCAAAATTACCCCTCAGTTTAAAACCACTTCAAAACCAACTAGGTATGTCGAAATTGCGGATAGTACAGGTAGTAGCGATGATGATATTGTGTATGTTGGAATGTTGGGAACTGCAGGACGACGGCCAGGGAAAGTCAGCGCTATATGGGCAACTCCACGTATTAATGATATCCCATTGCGCATGGAAGTAGATACCGGATCAGCGGTATCTGTCATTTCAACAGTAGATTATCATCGCATGTTTTCGCATTTGGAAATACAGGAAACCCAGATAAGACTAAAGACCTTTAAATACAGGGGAAGAGGTAACACCAGATGGAGTATTAAACGTAAACATTAATTATCAAGGTCAAGAGCACTACGGGCGTCTGTACGTTGTTAAACATGGTAGACAGCCTTTGTTCGGACGCGAATGGCTGACACACATTAAGTTGGATTGGCAAAATATTCTAGCATTGTCAGAAGAAACTACCTCAGATATCAGTACAGATGCAAAGCTGGGAGCATTAACCCAAGAGTATAGTGCATTATTCACAGATGGAATTGGCGAATTGAAAGGTATAAAAGGGAATTTGACCCTTAAAGAAAATGTCAACCCAGTGTTTCTTAAAGCTAGGCAAGTGCCATATGCTCTACGACCGAAAGTTGAGGCGGAATTAGAGAATCTAGAGCGGGAGAAAATAATATCACCTGTTCCCTTCAGTGACTGGGCTACACCCATTGTGCCTGTACTTAAAAAAAATGGAGGCTTCAGGCTATGTGGAGATTTTAAAGTGACTGTTAATGCAAACTTGAAGGTAGAACATTACCCACTACCCAAAATTGAAGATGTGTTTGCCACGTTAGCAGGTGGCCAAAAGTTCAGTAAGCTGGATTTGAGACAAGCCTACCTGCATATGGTAATGAATGAGGAATCAAGCAAGCTACTTACCCTCAATACACACAAAGGACTTTACAATCTGGCAGCGGACAATGGAACAAATTCTCCAGGGAATTCCCAGAGTACAGTGTGTGTTAGACGACATGATAGTTACAGGTCGGGATGATGCGGAGCACCTTAAGAACCTAGAGACGGTATTCAAAGTTCTCCATGAACGTGGCCTCCGGCTTAATAAGAAGAAATGTGAGTTTTTCAAGAAGAAAGTCGTATTTTGTGGACATGAAATCGACGCGCATGGTCTACATAAAACCCAGGACAAAATTAAGGCAGTCCAAAATGCACCACACCCAGATAATGTTACCCAACTTCGTTCATTTCCTGGACTAGTTAATTATTATCATCGCTTTATGCCAAACCTTGCTACTCTGATACATCCACTCAACCAGTTACTTGAGAAGGATCGTAAATGGGAGTGGACGTCACAGCAACAGGAAGCGTTCGAAACAGTAAAATCATTAATCACATCAGAGGAAGTTTTGACACACTATGATCCGCTATTACCTGTTAAGTTAGCATGCGACGCTTCGCCATATGGATTGGGAGCAGTCTTGTCACACGTTATGCCCGATAACATCGAACATCCCATCGCATATGCTTCTCGTACACTTTCACCTGCAGAGCGTAACTACTCGCAAATTGATAAAGAGGCACTGGGGCTTGTCTGGGGCGTCAAGAAGTTTAATAATTATCTTCAGGGGCGGAAATTCACCTTAATCACAGACCACCAACCGCTAACTTCAATATTCCATCCTGCGAAAAGTATTCCCACCACAACGGCATCGCGTTTGACACGTTACGCTATTTTCCTAGCAAGTCACGATTATGATATCGAGTATAGGAATACTAGGAAGCATTGTAACGCAGATGGGCTTTCGCGACTGCCGATTGATTGCGCCCAACACCCTAACTTCACAGACCCAGATGACCTGATGTACGTATCACAATTAGAGAAGATGCCAATAACAAGTATGCAAATACGCAGAGAAACGGAGCGAGATGTTACGCTTGCTCGGGTTTGTGAGTATACAATGAATGGGTGGCCAGTGATAAATGAATCTGATTTCAAATCATTTCAAGTACGTAAGAATGAACTCTCAGTGTATAGTGGATGTCTCGTGGGGATTACGTGTCGTAGTTCCATTAAAGTTACGAGACGATGTTTTAAGCGTGATACATGAGGGTCATCTTGGGGTGGTAAAGATGAAGAATCTTGCTCGCGGATATGTGTGATGGCCTGGTATCGACAATGACATTGAACAATTAGTTAAGGGTTGTTCTGGTTGCCAAAAGGTTCAAAACAACCCCAAAGTAGCACCACTTCATACTTGGGAGTGGCCATCGGCTCCTTGGCAGAGAATTCACGTCGACTATGCTGGGCCGTTTCTAGGTCGTATGTTTCTGGTAGTAGTTGATGCCCATTCTAAGTGGCCGGAGGTTGTATGCTCTAAGTCGTCGACCTCAACAGACACGATAAATATGTTACGTGATATTTTCTGTTGTAATGGGGTACCAGAACAGTTCGTTAGCGATAATGGGACTCAATTTACATCCGCTGAGTTTCAGGGCTTCCTTAAATATAATGGAATAAAACATCAGATCAGCGCCTTACCATCCAGCTACGAATGGCTTGGCTGAACGTTTTGTTCAAACCCTCAAACAAGCATTGAAAGCGATGGAAGGAGAGGAAGGGTCGATCACAGCTAAATTGGCTAACTTTCTGCTTGCTTACAGGAATGCCCCACACTGTACGACAGGACAACCACCAGCGGTCCTGTTCATGGGCAGGAACATTCGTTCGCGTTTGGATATCTTGAAACCAGACCTCCGACGTCATGTTCAGAGCAAGCAAGTGGACCAGACAGTGTCTCATAAAGCTGATAAGAGGACACGCACGTTTAATATGGGCCAGGCTGTTGCAGTCCGCGACTATAGGAACCGAGGGAAATGGACGCCTGGAACGATACATACGCGTACTGGTCCATTATCTTATGTAGTTTGTGTTGGACCTAACGTGCTCTGGCGCCGACATGTTGATCAAATAATTGTCTCCAACGTACAGAGCAAACAAGTTTGTTTTGAAAATTGTTATAGTGAACCTGATATTACACCAGATCCTGTCACTGCAGAAATACCCCCACCACTTATAGATCTCCCTTTTCTTAATGAGACACGTACATACGTATCCCCTACGGAATCTACTGATTGTTCTAATGTAGCAAGTCCTGACAAACCTGAACGCCACTATCCACTGCGCATGCGTAAATCTCCAGATAGGTTATCATTTTAGATGAAATTTGATGTTACTGTTATTGATGTTTAAGAGTTTTGCACATGCAAGTTTATAGGGTGAGGAGTGTAGCATATTTGAGTATAAGCTTGCTACTATTATTGTTTATGTTATATGCTAATTAGTTGTACGATACGCGCGGAGCTAATGATGTGCGAACGCGCGGATATACGTTGTTGTATTAAAATGGTTGAGTTACAATAATGTCTTGTTGGACTGCTCTGTTGGTTATCCGAACGAATACACTACACTTTCAATGTTCTTATGGTGGCGGGACGGAATTCCAAAAGGTGGTTTGACGGAATTAAATAATTATTTTAGTTTAAAATTAAAATTTTCCAAAATTACTTTTTAAGCCAAAATCATAAATTACACTTTTATAATCATAATATTGTTAAGAATTATGGAAATGGAATCGATGCAAACACTTTTAAAAACAAATTATACTTCATAACGTGGTACGGAATAATGGTGGTACGGAATTCTTTATAAGTGGCGGGACGGAAAATAATAAAATGGGTTTAAAATTAATTTTAATTTGACAAAGTTATTTTTCAAAGCTAAATCCTAAAGTACACGTAAAATCATATAATAGCAAAATGTAATGAAAATCAAATTATAGTAAAGCGTCTAGAAAAAATTAAATTTGTTTTAACTGGTGGCGGTACAGAATTTGACCCAATAAAAATGCATGTCACATTTTTGGCTCATGTTGTTTCCAAAGCCGGCATAGAGCCTGACCCTGCTAATCTTTAGAAGGTCAAACGTTGGCCTATTCCACGTAATGTCACCCAGGTCGGAGGTTTTGTGGGTCTTTGCTCATATTACAGGCGTTTCGTGAAAAACTTTGCCTCAATTGTTCGTCCTCTGCAACTACTACAGTAACACACAAAGGCGTACCTTTTGTTTGTCAGATGAGTGTGATCATGCTTTATAACATATTGAGAGAAAACTTGATAACCCACCAATTGCGGCATATCCTGATTTTAATTTACAATTTCAACTTTTCACAGATGCTTCAGAATTTTCTATTGGCTCTGTAAGTAGAAAGCATTAGAACATAGTCCAACAAAAGAAATAATTTGCATATGAAAAGAATTCTATTGTTCTCTTCCCTCCTAATCCCCTCAATTCTTTTGTTTAGACCCCAACTCATCGATATTTAGAACAATGGAATTGACCTTGTGACCTTAACTTCCGGTCGAAGACCTATTGTTTTCTTTTACCGGACCTTGAAATATGAATAAGTGATTTATGACGTAGTGGTAAAACTGGATACGATGTTTATCAATACATGTATTATATTTTTATAATCGCTATTGACGGGATGTCTTTGTTCCCTTTATAGCCGTTAATCCTATAGAAAATATGAATAATAAATTTATGACGTCATTTCGGACATGTCCGAACTTGTTTGTGTTAATACGTCACAGTCGTTACGTCACCCTTTTTTGACCTGTCTGTACTTGTCTATTTAGGGGGTATATAACTCTTTGAGAATAGATAGATTACATTAGTGTCTTTAAACATGGATGTCCAACAAGCCAAAAAATTAAGCGATGCTTACATCGAATATAAAGTAAATGGTAAAATTACGTGGGACTCACCGTTGCTTTTAGCGGTTATTCGTATTAATGAGCAGATCGAAAATGAATATAGTTCTGAATTTGCTGGATTTAGCAATTTGAGCCCTGAACAACTTCTCACCAGTTTTAAGGGGATGTTTGCCGATGAAAAAATCAACTGGGGCCGTATAATGATAGTGTATCTATTGAGTGGGTTAATAGCGAAGGGAAAAAGCGAGAAACAGGTTTTAGCGCTCAAGAATTCTATTGGTCAATTCGTTGCTGAAAGGTGTTCTGATTGGATAAAAAACCAAGGAGGTTGGGTAAGTGTTGTTCTAATTTTTATTTTTCCGGTACAAACTAATTACCTTTTTTTAAATCCTAGACTTATAATCTTCTTTTTGTGGCTTCTCTTATAGGAAGAATTGTACGGATCTATAGATGATGAAGAAGGTGAAATCGATGGGAGTTGGAAACGTAATCTTTGTTTTCTTACTATAGATGCCTCCTTTTTGGCTTTCCTTTGTAGTAGGGTTTTACTTTCCTTATAGGTAAACTTTTGTTTTTCTCTAGTCTTATTCTATTTGTAATGAAAAGATTTTGTCTTGAATAGTAGGCCTAATGAACAGTTTTCTTAATTGCTACCCTTAATCGGTCGTAAGCAGAGTACAAGGTTTTTCCTAACTCTATAGATGACATTAAGTCAATTTTTTTTTTAATTTAGTTTTAATTCTGAGTGAATTTCAGACTGTCATTCAAAGATTATGGGAAAGTTAAAACTTTGACGATGTAAATTCCTTCTTATTCTTATTTTCATTTAAGTTTGATGCTAATCAGAAAAGAAGCTTATTCAAATATTTAATACTTCTTTTGTTTTTATAGTATAAATATTGCCTGTTTTTTGGGTACTCTTTACACTGTTCTCTCTCGATTTCAGATATGGCTGGTAAAAAAATGTCAGACGTAGAACTGTTTGAACTTTTGGACTTCAACAACCGAGACGAAATGATTAGAGAAATGTTGGCTACCGTAGAGGACCAAAACTGGCGTTTCGATGATATATCGGATGAAGAACATATGCAGTTACTAAATTTTAATTCTTTGCCTGAAATGACGAGAGAAATGATAGACACGGTAGACGATGATGAGTGGAACCCTAGCGAACAACCTGAAACTAATGATAACGTGGAATCGGACCAAGAAACCCCTGCTGACGAACCCCCTAATGAAAACGTACCGGTAAGTCAATTTTATGTTTTAGACAGAACGTTCGTAAGAGAAAACAATACATATAATGCACGAGAAACTGATTATCAAATTACATTTAGGAATTTAGATGGTAGGGATATGTTCAGTATCGTAGGTATAATAAGCCAAATATTTGATGATTACTAAATAATGTGTGTGATGATAGGGTAGCCCCAAATGATATGGTCCGTTTTATACTTAGAAGTCCGGATTTAGACAACCCAATTTCCATCCCCTTCGGTAGACGAGATCACATTACAGAGTTGGTAATTGCCAAAGCGACGTTAACATTTTAAAACGTAGTTGCTTATCATTTAGATTTCTTTTCATGAATGCTACTCAGAAGAAAGTTGATGAGAACGAACCTGGTCCGTCTACCTCAGTACCTAATATAACTGGTATAGACCCATTCGATCATGGAATTAAAACCATTGCATCGGCCTGCAATTTCGTTTTTCGTAGCAATTTTCTCCATCCAGAAACGATTGCTATTTTCGATACTACACCAAAACATTATGTGCACTCCCGCAAAGCCTTAGAGTGGATAGTTTATGAGGCAAATAACAGGAATGTTTTTATCCACCACGCCCGAAATGGGGGCGAAAAATTATTTGGAAAGTTTTGGGTTGATGGGGCCTCCTTTGATCAATCAAAGAAATACATTTTTGAGTTTAACGGGTGCTTTTGGCACGGCTGCCCCGTGTGTACCGTTCCAGAGGCAATTAACCCCTATACCGAAGAACCATTTATAGTTTCCTTCTTAAAGACAGTGCAGAAAAAATGTTTTCTAAAAAAACACTTCCCCGAATTTACATTTATTGAGATGTGGGAGCATGAATGGGACCGAATTAGAGAGTCAGTCGATCGTAATATTCTTGACAAAGTTCATGAGTTCTGTTCCGAATCCCCCCTAAACACCCGAGATTCATTTTATGGTGGTCGCACTAACGCTTCTAGGCTCTTTCATGAAGTAGGTAAAGATGAAAAAATCAAGTATGTAGACTTTACGTCCCTTTATCCATTTGTTAATAAATACGGTGAATATCCCATAGGTCACCCTGAAATCCTACTAGGTAGTGAAATTTCAGAAGATATTTTCAATTATTTTGGTCTAATTAAATGTACAATCGAACCCCCAAAAGAACTGTATCATCCCGTTCTACCGTATAGAGTAAACAATAAATTATTCTTTCCCCTTTGTCGTACTTGTGCCGAGGAATTATCCCAAACGTCATGCCAACATTCTTCATCCGAACGACAACTTAACGGTACATGGGTTTCGATCGAGGTACAGAAAGCTGTTAAACTAGGATACAAAATTAAATCGAACCAATGCGTTTGGAATTTCAAAGAAAGATCAAAGTACGATAAAAATGGGGGGTCAGAGAGTTTGTTTTCAGGATATATAAATTGTTTTTTAAAACTGAAACAGGAGGCTTTGGGGTGGCCCGATTGATGTAAAACCGAAGATGAAAAGGAGTCTTACATTCGAAATTACAGAGAAAATGAGGGTATCTCCCTTGACCCCTCCAACATCAAGTACAACCCTGGGCTACGTTCTCTTTCAAAATTAATGTTGAACAGTTTCTGGTGAAAATTTGGTCAGAGAGAAAATCTACAGAAAACTACGGTCACTAGTGACCCAGCTACCCTCTTCTCAATGTTAACAGACCCGTCAATTATTGTCAATGACATTAATTTCTTCAGCGAAAATGTTGCTGAAATTAAACATACATTTATTGACGAAAAAGTTCCCATTAACAAGAAAGGAAACGTAGTTCTGGCGGCTTTTACCACAGCGCATGCCCGTCTTAAATTATACCAAGTCTTAGAGAAATTACAAAGAAGGGTATTGTACTACGACACAGATAGCATTATATTTACAGTTAAACCCAACGAATGGGAACCACCGTTAGGTGATTATCTAGGAGAATTAACTAACGAAATTGATCCAAAGGACGGTAACCATATTACACAGTTTGTTTCAGGGGGCCTAAAAATTATGCGTACAAACTCGATTCCGGAAAGACTGTATGCAAGGTTAAGGGTCTTACGCTTAATTACATGAACACCAAATTAGTAAATTTTGACCAAATGAAAAAGTTAGTGTGCACAGTAGGGGATAGGCCAACCATTAGGGTTAATGATAGACAAATAACAAGAGATGTAAAAAGGAAAAAACTCTATACCGTAGATAGGAAAAAAGATTACAGGATATTTTACGATAAGAGAATAGTATTTCCCGATTTCGATACCCTCCCCTATGGTTACGTGTGGGAATAGTTTGACAGTTATAGGTTATTTAGATAAAATAGACAGTCTTCTCTTTTGAACGTTTCGTCTAACATAAAATTGACTTTAGGTTAACTATATAAATTTATTTTTCTTACCTTCGAATCTTCATTTATGCAACAATAATTGATATGATAAGAACTCCTTTTACGATGGTCGTCAGCGGCCCCACTCAGTGTGGGAAAACCGAGTTTGTAAAAAAACTGTTATTAATTCCATCATTTACTGAAAGATTCCACGATATACATTGGTACTATGGTGAATATCAAAACCTATTTGAAGAGCTGAGTATGAAATACCCACGCTCACGTTCATTGAAGGGCTACCAACTGACATTACGTCTATGCTGCCTGATAAAAAGCATTTGTTCATTATTGACGATCTCATGGCCGAAGGATCAAGAAACAATGGACTAGTTAATCTGTTTACAAAAGGTTGCCATCATAGACAAATCAGCGTCATAGATGTGTATAAGACTACGGTTCTAAAGAAATGAGAACAATAACATTGAATGCTCACTATTTGGTCCTATTTAAAAATCCTAGAGACCGCTCTCAAATTTTACATCTAGCTCGGCAAATGTTTCCAGGGAGGTCAAAGTTTTTGAGAGAAGCTTTTGAAGACGCTACGAAAGAACCCTACGGATACCTGTTTGTGGATTTGAAACCGGATACGCCTGAAGATGTACGTTTGAGAACTGAAATATTTTCAGATACTCATCAGACTGTGTATGTGTATAAGTAGAAAAACTTTTCAATTTTTTTGTCATTTAACCACTCGTCTACGTCATGTCTTAACGACTTAGAAAAAACGCTAATGCTCTACGTTTCTTGGCGACTTGTTCGCCCAAGCAGAGAAAGCTGGTACTGCAGAATGCTGATAAAGAACTGATTAATTGTCTTTGCGAGTGCGTTACAAATGCTTTAAAAGGGAACGTACCGATTTCAGCAACTCATAAACGTAAACTGGCTACAGTCAAAAAACAACTACGTGAACTAACAAACAAATCCCTTCCTACTACAACGAGAAAACGTATACTTGTTCAGAAAGGAGGATTTCTATCGCTAATTTTAAAACCTATTCTACAAACTTTGGGCGGAATACTGCTAAGTAAATAAGATATGGAGTCTACACGAAAGATGGTTTTGATGCCTAGCGAATTTGCTTCCACTATGTTGCACTCTAAGCGGTTTGAGAAAAACCAAGACGAGCGACCTAGATAATGAGATGCAAGATATATTGAGTCGACCAATCAACGATTACGATAAGGCGCTTTTGTACAATCAAGTTTTACAAAGGTATATCAAACGCGAAAAGACAGTTGGCAATCCATCACCCGTACACGTAACATCTACATCGAACCAAGAAACTAAGAAAACATCGGAAGCAGAAACGAACGGCGAAGAAAAAGAAGCCGAAGAAGATGCTATTATAAAATCATTTCCTAAAACTATGGTTTCCAGAGTTCGACCTATTCTTACATATATTTTGAACTATAAACACATTATAGATGTCTCTTATACACATCT